GGGAAAAGGGCGGAGGGTAGTAGAAAAGGTCACAAGACGAAGACCTTTGACTCCCCTTTTAAGGTGGATCCAAAGGCGGATGAAAAACGAGATGATCCTGTTTGGCATTTCGTTGCTCGTGGTCGTTATTTAGATGGATCCACTGCGATCGGGAGGAAGAACGGTCGCCGTTGTTTGTGCAGGTTATGTGGTCGTTCTCTATGTGGGGGTGCTCGTGAGGCGAAGGAACACTTTTTTCGTGGCGAGGGGTATAGATGCCAAGTAGCCAGTCTGACGGTGTGGCACACGATTTTGTCAAAGGATATGTTGGCTTCTGCCGTGCAGGCCTTGCAGAGTCTCCCTCTCGGTCATCCCTCTTTTCAATGGCCACCTCTTCGTTTTCCCGATGACGTCGTTCCGCTGCCCCCGTCGACCTCTGCCACCTCGCAAGTGGCGCCATCTCCATGTGCACCACTTGCTCCCCTCCCCCCTCGTCCGCTTCGTCAAACGATTCCCGCATCCGTTGATGGCAGACCATCTGTGGCAACGCAGCCTGATGCGCAAGGCACCGTGCCAGTTTCAGGTGTCGGGGAACCTGTGCCGTTCGACGAGCAAGGCACTCGTGCTTTCGTCGAGGGCGGTGGGTGGGGGAAGGACGCTGGCACATCATCAGGCCTCGCCCCGTTGTTCACTGGCAACAGGGACAAGGTCCCAAGAGTTCGACGCACAGACACACGTCCGGCCGTGGCAGGAGCACCCGCAACAGGACATCAATCCGCTGCATATCCATGGTTGCCTCCCCCTCCTTCTCAAACACGACGGCCTACACCAGACTTGACTTCGACACCTGTTGGCGAGGCCGCTGCAACGGCCACTGAGGGTGCGGGAAACGTCCAGCTCGACGAGCCCGTCCAGGTTTCCGATTCGTCACCCACTCCTGTGCCCGTGAACGGCCCGACCTCGCAGCACGGTGTTTTTGGGACACTGGATCCTTTACAGAATCTGCGCAACATTGCAGCTCCGAGTTCAGGCCCCACCGCATCACCTGCGGCCGGGGGCGGGGTGTGGGATTATCTAGGTATGGGCGCCGGTGCACGAGTGAGGGGCACTTACAGGCAGTAGGCGGTGACCTCGTAATACAACGACCCGCTGGAGCATGAATGACACCTGCAGATCATGCGATTCATTGTCGAGAGCGACATGTCGTTCAACTGTGTGAAGCTTGAGAGCTTCAAATGCATGTTGACGTTGATCATCCCGCCTGGGGTTCCAGGAGTCCCCACCCCAAAACCCCCAACGTATCACATGATCCGTACCACACTTTTGGATGAGCTTGATGTGGAAGTCCAAAAGTGTGTGAAACCTGTCCTCGCTACTGCAGCTACCTACGGTTGCACGATAATGACAGACGGTTGGACCAACATTCGGGGCCAAACGTTGTGCAACTATCTCGTCGGCACTACACAGGGCGCCACATACGTCGCGATAGATGTTATGCGAGGAAAGAAGGATGTCACTGCTCTGGTGCAGGCTTGGCTGCGAAGGTTGAAGTCCCTTGACATCAAGCTCGCYGACATCACCGCTTTCGTCACAGACTCTGCCAGTTCGAACGTTTTTGCGATGGAGGTGTTCCAGAAGGATGAGAGTGTCAAGCACATCTTCTGGATTCCTTGTGTGGCACACGTCATGGACCTCATCCTTGAGGACATCGGCAGCATTGACTGGGTGGCGACCCGCATTGCTCAGGCGCGTTTGGTCACAAAGTTTTTCAARYGTCATAGCCACGCTCGCGAAGTTTTGCAAGCTTTCACGACGAAGGCTCTGCTGCTTCCCGCCGAGACTCGCTTCGGTACGCATGTGATTATGATGCGACGACTTCTTCTGCTGCAATCGCATCTTATGTAGGTGGTCATTGAAGATCGATGGAAGGACACTGTTTGGTCAACGAAGAAGATTCGAGACGACGGCGCGGAGGTCACAGCATGTGTCGGTTGTCCTCAATGGTGGGAGGATATGAGAGCGCTGTGCAAGTTGTTGGATCCCATCATGAACATGCTGCAGATGGTGGACAGCGACACGAGGCAGATTGGCAAGATTCTGCGTCGGTACGACGAGATGATCGCGCGTTGTTTGTCTGCATGTGCCGCTTTGGAGAAGGACGAGCAGGACGTGCTGCTTGAAGTGTTTGACAGACGCCGCACCATGTTCAARTCGCCTGCTCATGTTGCTGCCATGATGTTGGACCCCGAGTTTCGAGACCGCACGATGCCAGATGACGAGGAGATGCAGCACGGTTTGAAACTCGCTCTGATTCAGTTTGGGTACCCGGAACATTCGGATCAGCACACCGAGGTCCTCACTGCCATTGACAAGTTTCATTCCAGGGAGCCGCCGTTCGACGCTGTGGCCATGGACCGGGCGGCGAGGAGCTATACCGATCCAGCATGTTTCTGGGAGTCGAAGGAGAAGASGTTCCCGCACACGGCCTTCTTCGCTGGCAGGATACTGCGTGTGTGGGCGACTGCGTCGCCTTGCGGTCCTGTTGGAGTTTCATCCACTCCAAATCTCGTAACAGATTGGAGGTGGCGCGGGCCGAGAAGCTCGTGCGATGCCATTGGAACCTTTGGCTCCTCGACAGGCAGGCTATGTCGGACGATGCTCCCAGTGACAGGCCACATCCGTATGGGAGCTGGGTGCACTACTGGCAACAGGTGGAGGAGGAGGTGCCCACCGACCAGCAGCTTGTGGCAGACCGAGGAGCCCGTGTGACGGTCACGAAKGAGGAGTTGACGCAGGCGAGAGAGAGGATGCGCGTCGTGTCCCGCATGGGAGCCACTCGTCGCTTGCGGGAGTCTGACAGGAGGAGGTGTCGTGG